TTTAGTCAGCTGACAAGACCACATCTTCCCAGGCATCTGATCTGCCCATGCACTGAACTGTCTGACTGGGATCCTACTCTAGCCTCCATGAACACAGCCATGCAAGTGGAGTACCATGCTTGAACTAACAGTACATCCAGGCAGGGTTTATAGGCTGTTAACATACATACATGGCTTACAAACTACAGCTGTGTTTCATTTAGCCAGGTTGCTGCAGTGCACTAGGCCAGCAACTTGAGCACGGACGTGAGTTCAGAGCAATTCCCCACATACTGCATTTTACAATATAAAACAAGATATGCAGGATTATTAAAGGAGAAGGCTGTGGTAGACTAGGAGTGGCCAACCCACAGTTCATGGACCAAACCCAGAGAGAAGAAAATTTAAGTCTAGTCTATCATCTTTTCCCTTCTCAAAGCCCCCTTCTGACATTTAAGAAAAAAAAAATATGCATATCCTCAGTTCTTGTGTGTATCACAAATTTCTCCCAGCTTATTTTGTTTGCAGCCCCTCTCCACTGTTCAATAACAAGTGCACTTCTAGCCACATGCTGGGAATACACATCTGGGAAACAGCTCATAAAAGCCATCACTTCAGCAGCTCATATATAGTAATGTGAATAAACATATATGAGACATCATTATGCTGTGGCTCATTGCTTCAATGAATCACAAAACAAATTTTTAACATGCTCAAATATCTGCAGGACTGAGGACTAATAAACCTCTGGACTTGGTTCCGTTTGCAGGGAGACTGTACTCCATGTGCCCAGCCTACCTGTGCATTCCAACAGACAGGATCAGGAACTGTGTGCAGAATATGTCTATCCTTTTACACTATTTCCATTTAAATACACTTACTAGCAAGTTCATCTTCAATATCTGTGTCGGCAAATGGCATTTCTGCCATCAAAGAATCTACTGAATCAGCAGGAGGACATGGCTTTTTTCCCTCTTGTGTTCTTTTTTTATTTCCTTTAACAATTTTCTTCTTTTGTTGCATATTATCCAGCCCATCTGTAATATATTTAAATAACACACTGGGGATGAGTTTTCAGTATAAATACCTACGTGACATTATAGATAAGCAATATACAAAGCATAAATTTATCTACTTCTCGACAAATAAATAATGATATAAATCTTTTTTAAGAATGCTACTCTTCTTCCTTGACAACACATCAGTAAAAATACTTCAATGCTTTATGTGAAATAGCATAAAAAAGAGAGTCCAGCCTTCTACATTTAATAACTTATGGTTTTGATCCGTTCTAAGTAAATGCATTAGAAGCAAAAAGGACAGTTATGAGCAAGTATAAAACAATACAAGTCTTCGTATATCATGTACAGCTCACTCTGGAGAACAATAACAGCATGTGAAATTCAGTGCAGATAAACACTAGAAAATTATTTGCAGTGCAAACAAACACACTGAAAATGTGGCATGAAGGAGCAGAAAGGGAATCCTACAAATTCACATAAAAAAAAGAGATCTCAGCTGACTACATCATGCAGGAGCGAGATGATTATTCTAGTCCTGTATCTCCCACACAGTGTAATATATGTATTAAACTACACCTTAAGAAATGAAAAATCAGTATCTCCTCTAGCAACAGAGAATGTAGACACAACTAGACATCCAGTAATATTCTCCTGGGACAGCTCCACAATGGCATTACTGTAGTGGAAGAAGCCTTCTGTTAGAATTGCAGTTTATCCCAGGACAGCTCATTATGACAGACAACACACTTTGAAAGCTTCTCTTGTGACCATGCAGATAGTCCAAATTTGGCCCAAGGGGAAAAACTGGCAGCAAAAGTGCATATCATGCTACTGTGGCATGCAAAGCTATGCTACGTGTGTAAAATCAACAGTATAGAGCCAGTCTGGGCCATTGGGATGATAAGCAAAAGAAGAATCTGGCTACATGCTAACTCCAGCCTAAGGCAGGGAGGTGTAAATCACTATGTGGTTGTGGTCTGACACCTACGTTTATGCCAGAGGCTAATAAAAAGAAGCAAACTGTTTGGAGTGGCTGCTTGTTCCCTCCATAGACAATGAAGAACCGGGTATGACAACGAGACGTTAAAGCAACAATACATTTATTACCTAACAGAGTTAAGCTTACATGCTAGTGATCCACCAGCATACAGAACATAACATTTTCACCTTTTAGAAAGGTCACAAAAGGAAGAAACAAAGACCCATGAAACTGACAAACAAGGACAAGTGGGGTAGGAAAGCTGTCAACAAGATTCAGAAATGCAAAACTATTAAGAGCAAAAGGAATTTGGTACGGTAGCATCAGCTGTGGAACAAGGATTCACCTAAATCTGAGGTGTGTGTATTGCAGATTATGCCCTCCTTCTGCCCTGTAGACACAAAGCACAGCATGTGCTGAATAGCAGCAGGTGGGCAGGGGCACAGCCCATTAGCGACATCCCAAACAACACAGGCACTGCTTCTCAACTCTACATATGGAGATTCCGATCAAAAACTCTATCCCACCTTTTCCTGAATTAAACATTAAGGAAATCACCAATAAAATCCAAGATTTGTATCCTAGACACTAAAGCAACATGAAAACAGGACTTTCCAAGTTCTTGGCAAAATGTTGATAATCTGAGACCTGTGTAACTGGAAGAGCTTCCACAGCAACTCCTTGGCCACTAGACTACGGAAGGATAAACTTTATTCTTAACTGCATTAATTTCATATATGAAAAGGGATCTATGCTATTCCTATATATGTCTTTGAGCGGTTACTGAGCTACCAGTCATTAAGCAGTCACTGCTGTTCATGAAGATGAGCCACCTGTTCCAGCAGAAAAAAGAAGAAAACAAAACAAAACAAGCTACGTGTCATAGAGAACACAAAAATAAGGAAAAACACTCTCACTGTACTCCTTTCTCAGGCATCCTCTCTTCACACTTAGTTGCAAGAGAAACAGTTTTTGATTATTTTACACCTGCACATAAAAAAACACCAAAGACTAGGTCTGTGGCTGCTGTTCCCATGAACAGTAACAAATAATGATTGGGGTTGGAACTCGATAAGCTTTAAAACCCCATCCAACCTGGGCTGAATCTATTGCTGCTGTGAAAATGGCTATCTAGTCTTTCTGAGCTCGTACTACTGGCACAAGCTTCACAGGCCCAGCGAACCAGAGAATTGTAGAATCAGAAAGGTTGGAAATGACCACTAAGATCACCTAGTCTAACCCATAACCACCATGCCCACTAACCAGGTCTGAAAGTACTGTATTCATACATTTCTCAAACACCACCAGGAACAGTAACTGCACCACCTCGCTAGGCAGCCTGTTTCAGCACCTGACCACTCTTAAGAAATATTTCCTAATCTTCAGCCTGAACCTCCCATGCTGCAACTTGAGGCCATTCTCTCTACTTCAATTTCTAGTTTCACAGGAGAAAAGGCCAACCCTCACCTCACTACAACCTTCCTTCAAATAGTTGTAGAGAGCAACAAGGTCTATACAGGATGATCCAAGGGCTGGAGCACTTATTCAATGAAGATAAGCTGAAGGAACTGAGCTTGTTCAGCCTGGAAAAGAGAAGGCTACGGGGGAAACCTGATCGTGGCCTTCCAATATTTAAAGGGAGTTTATAAACATGAGGGAAATAAACTTTTTAAAAGAGTAGATAGTGATAGGACAATGGGGAATGGTCTTAAGCCAAAGGAGGGGAGATTTAGATTAGACATTGGGGGAAGTTTCTCATAGAGAGAGTGGTGAGGCGCTGGAACGCACTGCCTAGAGAGGTTCTGGATGCCTCATCCCTGGAGGTGTTTAAGACCAGGCTGGATAGGGCCTTTGGCAACTTGATGTAGTACTTCATCTAGAGGTTGGCAATTCTGCATATAACAGGAGGGTTGGAACTTGATGCTTGAGGTCCCTTCCAATCCAAGCCATTATATGATTCTAAGGTCTTCCCTGAGCCTCCTTTTCACCAGACTAATCAATTCTAGTTCTCTCAGCCACTCCCCATAACTCTTGTGTTCCAGACCCCTCACCTTGACCCTCTCTGGACATGCTCCCAGGACCTTCATGACTTTTTTTATAGTGAGGGGCCCAAAACTGAACACTACTCAAGGTACAGCCTCACCAGTGCTGAGTACAGGAGATGATCACCTCCCTGTTCCTGCTGGCTGCGCTATTTCTGGTACAAGCCAAGATGCCGTTGGCCTTCTTGGCCACCTGGGCACACTGCTGGCTCATATTCAGCATCGACCAACACCCATTTCTTCCACACAGTCTTTCTCTGCCCCAAGACTATAGTGTTGCATGGGGTTGCTCCACCCAAAGTGTAGGGAACAGCACTTGGTCTTCCTAAACTTCATCCCAGTGGCCTCAGCCCAGTGCTCCAGCTTGTCCACACCCCTCTGTATGGCCTTCCTACCCCCAGATAGGTTGACACTTCCTTCCAACTTGGTGACATCTGCAAACTTACTGAGGGTGCATTCAATTCTCTCGTTCAGATCGTCAATAAATATATTATTAAACATTGTCAGCCCCGAACTGACCCAGCTAAAGAAATCTCCTTTAAATAATAAGCCAGAAAGGGATCGGTGTAGCACTCCGCACAGCCACACAGCGCAAACCCGATTAGGCTGACGCGGAGCGCTCACGGAACCGCTCATCACCGCCCCGTGACCGCAGCTGCCGCGCGCCCTCCCGCCCCCGCGGCGCGCTTGCTCGGCCCCGCCCGCAGCCCAGCCCCCCCAGGCCCCGGTCCCCTCACCGTGCTTTGGGGTCGAGCCGGCTGCGATGGCGGGCTCTTCGCCGGTACCCGCTTCTGCTGCTGCCGCCGGCCGCAGCGCCATAGGACCCACGCGCGGGGCGAGGAGGGGGCGCGGGGCGAGGAGGGGGCGCGGGGCGAGGAGAGCCGCAGGCCACGCCGAGCAGAGCGAGGGGAGCAGCCTGCGCAGCGCACGCTGCATCTCCGAGTGGGACGAGCGAGGATGCCCGCCGGGACACCGCGGCCTGGACGCAGGCGCCGCGTACCTTCGGCCCGACGAGAGAGGGGGCACGGGGCCGCAGGCGCGGGACTACAGCTCCCAAGGCGCACCGCGCGGCCGTCCCAGGGCATGGCGGGAGGCGGGCGGCGCTGGTGGTGCTCTACACCATCGTCCGTGTCGTGGGCCCGCATAGTGCGGAGCGATAATTTTCTGTCTTTTAGCTGTAGTCTTGCTATAAGCAGCTGTTCGTTTTTTATGAGGCAGCAGAGCACTCTTACTGGGGCAGCAACGCCCCAGCTGCGGCGGCACAGCCTTCCGTTGGGAATCTGCCTCTGGGACATCGGTGGGAGGCTGCTCCTCTGAGGCGAGCAGTGAAATGCTCTGTTTTCCTGCTTGAATAAAGACTTTGCGCCCCTTTGAAACAAAACTCTGGCGCTGTATTTTGTGGATGATGCCAAACCAAATCCTGCTTTATGTTTTTGCAGATAGGTCTGTGCGTACGGACAGGATCTGCAGGGGCTGACTGTGTATACGTAAATGCAGGTTCTTACTTTCGCTTTTGGAGGCAGTGTGAGTGGAAGAGAGGGAAAACAAAGATGTCCATAGCAAGAAGTAGCACAGAGAGATGTGGGTAGGAGATTGGAAGCTGAGAGGCTAGTGAAAGTTGTGTGGATTTCTGTACTCGACCTGTCTGTACCTTTTCTTCGTGGCAGATAAAATCTGCTTAAAAATGCTTCACAACTATTTTGACCCATTTCACGCTGTGTTTGCCTTTAATGTTTTTGTATTTTCATTAGGTCTGCATAGTCTTATGGAAACTACAGACTAGATGTCATAGAATCGTAGAATCACAAGGTTGGAAAGGACCTGCAAGATCATCTAGTCCAGCCATCCTCCCACTATCATTGCTACCACAAGCACTAAACCATATCTTGTAGCTCCTCATCTTGAACATGCCAGGGACAGTGACTCCACCACCTCTCATTCCAGTGCCTGGCCACTCTGAGAGAAATAGTTTTTCCTCTTGTCTAAACTAAACCTCCTCTGGCAAAACTTGTGGCCATTTCATGTGACACAGAAATCCAGGAATCTGGGGGAAGTCTGAGCATAAGGCTGCAGGCAGTGTTTTTTGCTGTGTGTTTCGTCTGAATATCAGCTGTCATAAGAAGTCTCAATACATACATGGTCACCTCTTTCTGGCCTGTTTAGCATTGATGAGCGAAATACTTTAAAAATTATTTCTGTTCAATAGCCACCAGCCTGGTACTAATATGGAGATGTATTCTTCGGGTTCATGGTGTGCCCGAGTGTGCAGGTTGCAGGGAAGTGAAAAAAATGCATTTGTTAGGAGTTGTGAGATTAGCTGATATCATAAATCATCCCCGACAAGTGTTTTGAAGGAAGATGTTCAAGAGAGGACTAGAAAGCTGATTTTTCTGTCTGCCTAAAAACCATAAAAGTTACATAGTTGTCACTGACCTGGTGCCTATCTGACGCAAGCCAATGCGTATGTTGTTGCAAATGCTTAGGTTTGGGCTAATGCCAAAGTTTTATCAGTTTTCTGTGGCCTTGTCTTTATTAAGGAGAGTTTCTGATTAACCTCACAGTGGCACAGTTGTCCCTTTGAGGAGAGAAAATCAGAACTCATATGACAGCTGAGTGATGTTAGCGGAAAGACGAAGCACAAGCAGCTCTACAAATGGATTTGTGTATACAGCCACACTGCCTGTACCTATCAGTCTCTCACCTGTCTGTCTCTTAATCCATCATTTAATTTAAATCAAATTTAGTAGAGAGTAAGAAGATTCAGAGGTGTGATATTCCCACACCTTTCCTGAAAATGAGTGTTTTGGGAAAAAAGAGATTCATTTAGATCCCAAATGAAGAGATAGTGCTCTGCATACGTTTTTCCCTGAGACAGTGACAGCTGGCCATGAGTCTTGGTCGTGCGTTAGACGATAGGTCACAGCACATTTTATCTGCACATATAATCTCTTATCTTAGTCAAACAAGAGAGATGTGGGAGCCATGAGTATTCAGGACGTGATTCACTTGTGGAGGATAGGAAATAAAGGGGTAGGAACAAAATACAGTTCAGGGAGGCCTAAATATTGAAAGAGGATATTGAGATATTGTATAGGATGTGGGAGGGAGTTGAGAATATTGTCATGGCAGGGCATCAAGATTATAGGGGAAGCTTTGGCTGTTGTGATAAGATGGGAGGACGTAGTTGATATGAAACAAGGCTTTGTTACAGCCACTGCTGATAGAGCAACTTGTTTTCTCGCAAGTGAAGAACAGACTGTGATCTCATAGTAATAAGAGACTTTCTATAGGAACAAAGAAAAGCACAAGTTGCAGAACTACAGATACTGGAAAATGAGAGATAGACAAAAGTGTCTGGATTAAAGTAACTTAATGCAAAGATCAAAAAGCAAAATGCTGAGGTTGCATCAGTAACTGAATAAAAGGAAGAAAACCACAGTGATTTTGTGTATTTATGCACTTAAGGAATAGAAACTATGTTTTATATCTAACATGAAGATTAATATCAAAGTTACATATATGGATATTTGCGTGATCTGTTGACATGGTAGTTTATGTACATTATAAGAGAAGGGAACAGAACAGGAGAATCAGATGAAAAATCAGCTGATTATCCAGATCTGCAGTTCCTTACTTGGTACCATCTAGGTGGTGACCTGTTAAGAGAATCACCTGGTAAAGGTCAATCTACACACTGAAATGCTATTAATGTTGATGTATTGTTCTGAGCACTTCCAGGTATCTCTAGGCTTTTGTGATGTCAAGACACTGAGCATCACTGTGAGCACACAGTGGATTCACCTGTCAAAGTGGAACATGAATGCCTTTGCCAGCAGGTTTACTAGCCTCCTAAGGAGGGCTTTAGACTGGGTTACTGAAAGATAGAGATATAAACTGGGAGAGAATTTTCCCAGATGTACTGGCAGAGAGTGGTGAGAGATGGTGGGATGGCACATGCAGGATGGTGTGCTGGCAAAGGCTGTCCCTCTCTGCCTGAGAAAGCAGTGTGTGTGAAGCTCTAGCACTCAGAGCTGGGAGAGACCAGCTGGAGGTCTGGCACACATCTGGGAGGACCTCAGCTGGCTGGAGAAGTGGGACAACAGGTGCTTCTTGAAGTTAAACAAGGACAAATGTAAGATCTTGCATCTAGGTCAGATGTTTCTGGCAAAAGCATCTGGATGCATTTCTGCATTAGTTTAGGTCCCTGACATTTTTTACACGCTTGGATGAGCTCTGCACTGAATATTATTATTAGGGTGTAAACTCTAGCCTGAGCTCCTTCAACCAGATTGCCTTGCTGTAGCGTATTTCTGAAAGTAGCTATGCTTTACAGATTTAGTCTTACACAAAATTTCTTTACAACTTCAATCAGACCCTTTTTCTGTATAAAGATTACAGTGTTGTACTTGCGTACACATCTTCCCAGCCTTCTTTCAGCACAGCTCCAAACAGCCAAAAGAGAGGAAATCCTTCTGAGGCCTTTAGGGCTTTGCAATAACAAAAGCAGCAGGAAGAACATCTCCAAGTAGCAAAAATAAATTTGTATTAGATATGTCTATTTAGGAGCTGACTAAAATATTCGTTTAATTTTGCTTTGCTGGATCAAACTGAAATGACAGGGTCATTTGCAGGAAGACATATACCCCTTAATGCAAGTGGAAGAAGATACACACCTCTGAGAGAACTAAGACTTAACTGCTGCATTACAGAATCACAGAACCACAGAATCACAGAACAGCCAGGGTTGGAAGGGACCTCAAGGATCATGAATCTCCAACCTCCCTGCTGCATGCAGGGCCACCAACCATTTAATACTATTAACCCCATTTAATTTAATACTATTAACCCCATTTAATACTAGACCAGGCTGCCCAGGGCCCCATCCAATCTGGCCTTGAACACCTCCAGAGACGGGGCATCCACAACCTCACTGGGCAGCCTCACCACCCTCCAGCACCTCACCACTCTCTCTGTAAAGAACTTCCCCCGACATCCAACCCAAATCTTCCCTCCCTCAACTTAAAACCATTTCCCATTAGTTGTAGTGCAGAGAGACTGGCTTAGGACATAATTAACCTCACAAGCACATAGATATCTTACAGATCTCTTTCAGGATTCTATTACATCATTTTCAGTTTGCTTATGAATTGCATTCCTTCATGGATGGGGAATTGGGTGGGGATGCAGAGAAGACTAATAGCCCCTGTTAAAAGGCTACCAGTTGCTAAGCAATTCTAGTTATCCTTGTTCCTTCTACAGCTCTTGTTCCCTGAAAAAAAATACAGTTGTATTTTTGTATGTTGTTCCGTGGAAAAAAAAAAAGAAGTCAGTTGTTTATCCATTTGCCCTGCTCATTGTATCTCACTGGCTAGTTTTAATGTTTCCTCTTAAATACTTGAAGCAGAGGGTACATGCTTTCTTAATCTAATTCTTCTTTCACTCCTCAGCGCAAAATAAAATCCACAAGAAGTCATCTGAATAAACTCTCATTCTGCAGCAGATCTGTCATGCTATTGCTGACAAAACCAGTTTTCCCTGCGTTGCTCCAGCGTCGGGTTGGAAGAAGCTGTTCTTTTCTTTACCTGTTTCAGAAGTACAAATTCTGTCACACAATTAAATATATAGAAGTTTAGTTTCAAAAACACAAGGTAACCATAATACAAACAATGTTATGGAATGCGTCTACTGATTTATATTTTACTATCATTAAATATTTATGCATCCACAGATGTAACTATAAAACATAAAATCAATGATTTTGATAGCTACAATCTTGTTTCTCTTATTCTTCACATGTACCATTCAGATTTATGCAAAAGGTTTTGTGCAATGGAGACCACTAATGACAGTCTGCAAAGTGAAGACAACATTCAGTTTGATAGGAAACTTCCACACAGTGTACATTGAAATAAAAACACATTTCTCTTTTAGAGCCTTTAATAAACCTAGTGGACTTTTTAACTCCAGAGGTCAAGTTAAGTTTGGTCTGAAGTCTCTGGAGTTGCTCTTATTTTCTGACTGAAACAGAAACTTAGGAAAAGTGTGTGGACAGAAAATTTAATCTAAAAAAAGAAGACACTGCCCACAGTTTTAAAAGTTTGATTTTAAATGCAGTGAATATTGCCAAAAGCCATGCGGAAGTCACGCAGCCGAGACACTAGATCCTGCATTCCTTGAGCAAAAGACACTTTACTGGGAGTCTTAGGCAAGTAAAGAATGCAGTTCTGAATCCAAAATGCATATTATTCCAAATGTGGGTGGGGGAAATATGTATTTACTGACTAAACTGAAAAATCTTGATTCTCAGCTGCCTATCTATTGTGTTTCTTTCTCTCTTCTCCCTTCTTGCTCATCTGTCTGTCCCTCTCTTCAGCCACAAAC